GGCTGTGGGCCGACCGCTGGTGAAGAATGACTGAGGTCTGTTAGACACATTGTTTTAATTGCGATGTGAAGATGCCCCAGCTGGGCTCTGGGAGGAGCAGGACGGTTATCCGGGGAGGTCGGGATGGGAATTTTTAGGGGGGAATTCTGTCCAGAGGAATGCGCTGTAACCCGATCTGTAAATGAAGAGAATCAAAGAGTATTAACAGCGTTTCGCTGGCCCTCGCTGCCCCGCGGCCGAGGCCACAGGTGTTTGGCAAATACTGTGTTTTGTGAAGGAAAAGCTGCAGGCTGTGTTTATGTCATCATTCCTGTCTGCGACTCACTCTCTCCCCTGCAAACTGGAAAACCGGAGGAATGCAACAAAATGCACTTCCTTCAAACTCCCTTTTCTCACTTTTTTCTTGCATTTTTCTCTACTTCGCTTTTGGGACAGAATGTTCTTTCTTCAGAACAACTCTCTCTCTTTCATCTGCTAAATTTCTCATGGAAAAGAATCTACACATTCTTTATAATATTTATTTATAATAAAAACATATATAATTACATATATTATATTAATCATATTATACAATATTATATTCTATAAAATATTTTATTTTATATATAAAATATATATAAATTAAATATATTTATATGTGCATTTTATATGTAGGCCTAAATGTATTTAAGAAGAGATCTCAACAGCGTCTCAGACTGAGCTCAGATCTTCCAACACAGCAAAATCTGCAGTCCCAGGTAAGAGATCTCAATATGAACTCAAACATTCCTCACCAGACTCTTCTGAAGATCGTCTGCCGGACGCATGGAGCGCTGATAGACGAAGCTCAGACTAAGCCGGGATGAATGTCGTTCTCTGGTTTCTGTCCATCATGTGACCGCTAATGCTTCACAGACTGATCTCTGACGTGTGTTTTCAATCCTTTCCCATCTAATCACTAATTGCGGTATGATATCCAAACACTTCCCGCGGTAATTCCACTGACCCAGATAGACCCGGCTGGCCTGACGCTAACGAGGAGGAGATCCATTTGATCCTTGATTAAATCTGCGGCCGCGGATCAGTGTTCACTGTCTGAGCTTTAACCCCTCAAACACAAGAGAGCTTCACGGTACACATCAACATCGCATGTAGATCTGCTCCTGAACAACATCTCAAATCTGCTTTGCCGTGTATCTGCGAGTGTCTCCAGACATCGAGAGTCACGGGCTTAAAGGCTTAGTGTGCATCCTCATTTTGTCAGAATTAAGATGTTTTAGCATTGTGTGCTTCAGAAAGAGACTTGAGCATTAATCTTCAACTCCTCAGGAGGAACTTGCTTTATTTGTTTTGCTTAAAGGGACAGTTCAAGCAAAACCAGTATTCATTCACCATCATGTCTTACAAAAAATAGCTGTAAAGACACCATAAACGCAGTTCTGAACTCATATGATGCTTTATTTGAGGAACAGACTCAAATTTAAAGAGATAGTTCACCCAGAAATGACATTTGCTAAAAATGTGCTCACGCTCAGGCCATCCAAGATGTAGATGAGTTGGTTTCTTCATCAGATTTGGAGAAATGTAGCATTGCATCACTTGCTCAGCAATGGATGCTCTGCAGTGAATGGGTGCCGTCAGAATGAGAGTCTGATAAAAACATCACAATAATCCACACCACTCCAGTCCATCAGTTAACATCTTGTGAAGCCAAAAGCTGCGTGTTTGTAAGAAACAAATCCATCATTAAGAAGTTTTACTTTCAAACAGTCACTTTTGGCCAAAATATGAGTCCATAATCCATAATAATGCTTCCTGCAGTGAAAAAGTCCATCTGTTGTTTTCTCTCACATCAAAATCCAGCCACATATTTGTTTAGAGCTGTTTTGGCTTGTAAACGGTGCT